AGCCTTTTTGTTTTTTTCCGAAAAATTGGAAAAATTGAAAAAAGAAAAGAAAAAATTGATTATGGAACGTTTTATTTTAACATGATGAATAAAATATTTTAAGACAAGGTGTTCAAATATTTTCCAAATCATTTCTAATATATATATTGATCTAATTTCTGTGCACTGAAGACAAGCAAGTCCTAGGTTACAAACTGAACTCTCCAATGCAAGAACAAGATGCATTTCTTCCTTTATGAGGTGCTGTTGTCACAAGAAAAGAAAAAGGTTTCAGTTTTGTTTTTGGACGTGGGTGGGTATTCTGTTTGAAATAATACACTATATTTTTAATATGCTAGTTGTGATAATTTCATGCCAAGTAAAAATGTCCATAGTCATATTTTATGTTCCTAAAGTAACAGAATGACTTTCAATCTAGAAAAGAAAAAAGAAGTGCTAATGTAGCATTTTTTTTTCAATTTTTCCGAAAATGTCCGTTTTTTCTCGGAAAAAAACGGTTTTTTTTCCGAGCTTCAAAATTTCCGGATATTTTACATCTCTATGTCAGATGTGACTGCGTGGGTCCACTGTCACTCTGTACGCACCCCCCCCCCCGAACACTCATACCTTGAATAAAACTTTGTTGGTCTTAAAGGTGCCACTGGATTCTAAATCTGTTCTTCTGCTTCAGTCCAGCATGGCTGGCCACCTGGATCTATCTGCACTGGGTGTAACTGGAGCAGTCAGTTACTCACACAAATGCAATATCTGCCCTCTGAGGAGGCCACACGAGTTGCTTCTCTGTATGAGTCACCACTTAGACTTGCCTCATGGCATTTGGCAACCGTTTGGAAAGAGTAGTTGTGCCCCATCTCTGTGACCAAACGATCAAGTTTCTAGTGGTGGAAGTAGCGACAGAAGAGGCTGCCTGTTGCCTCTCTGTATGAGTCACCACTTGGACTTCCCTCATGGCGTTTGGCAACCCGTTTGGAAAGAGTTGTTGTGCCCCATCTCTGTGACCAAACCATCAAGTTTCTTCTGGTGGAAGTAGCGACAGAAGAGGCTGCCTGTTGCCTCTCTGTATGAGCTGCTCCAGATGCCCAGATCAGTCTGCCACACAAACCATTTATGCGGGTTGGTCGTTTTGTTGTTGTTCAGTTCTTGACTCATCCCTCCATGCCTCAGGAACGAGATGTGCCTCCAGCTTTAACTGGAAGGGTGGGGGGGAAGTGTATCGGAACTCTGGGGCCTGCTTCCATAGCAACCGCTTTGCGCTTTAGTGGGGTCGGTGGAAGTCCGTTGTTGCCAAATCCAGGCCGGCTCAGACTGGGACCCTAAACCCTTCTTCCTTCCTCCCTCGTCAAGGCCTCTCCGACTTCCCTCAAAGGCACGGCCGTGACGTCGGCCCAGGCGAACGCCGCGGCCACCACGACCAGCGTGGCTTCCATCGTCAACGCCAACGACTCCCCCGCCAGCCGGCAAGCGGCCGCCAAGCTGGCCCTTCGGAAGCAGCTGGAGAAGACCCTCCTGGAGATCCCACCTCCCAAACCGCCAGCCCCCGAAATGAACTTCCTGCCCAGCGCGGCCAACAACGAGTTCATCTACCTGGTCGGGCTGGAGGAGGTGGTGCAGAACCTCCTCGAGAGTCAAGGTGAGGCCGGGGTGGTGGTGGTGTGCGGCTGGAGGCTTTTCCTGGGCTGGGGGCCAGCAGCTCAAAGGTCAATCAGGGCCGACCAGTTAATTAGCATCTGCAGTGAGAAGAAACAAGGGAGGGGAGAGAGAGAGAGAGAGACTCTGCAAGAGGGTCTCCTAAGGTTGAATCTTCAGGGAAGAGAAGAAGAAGAAAATATTGGATTTCTACCCTGCCCTTCACTACGCAAAGGTGTCTCAGAGCGGCTGACAAACTCCTTTCCCTTCCCCTCCCCACAACAGACACCCTGTGAGGTAGGTGGGGCTGAGAGAGCTCTGACAGAAACTGCTCTTTTTCAAGGACAGCTCTTATCAGAACTACGGCTTGCCCAAGGTCATCCAGCCAGGTGCAAGTGGAGGAGTGAGGAATCAAACCCGGTTCTCCCAGATTAGAGTCCGCCCACTGTGAGAAACTGCTCACAGGGGTCACGAAACATCGGAGAGCACTTTCAACTGGGCCAGAAACCCCAGCGCTACTCAGATCTCCAAATGTATTTATTTTAATTTATTTTATTAAATTTACGAATCGCCCACCCTGCAAGCAGGCTCTGGGCGATTTACAACTTTAAAAAGCGGTTAAAAATACAATCGACATAAAACGGTCGCAATACACCAATCAATGAACCAGTCCAGATCAGTGTTCCCTTTAAGCTGAGTTGGTGTGAGCCAGCTCAGTTTTTTAGCCTCCAGCTCACACATTTTTGTCTCCGCTCAGGAAGGAGGGCTCCAGAGCAAACTGATTTATGCAGTAGCCAAATGGCTCGCTCACGACTTTAATGCCAGTAGCTCACAAAGTAGAATTTTTGCTGACAAGACTCCACCAGTGTTCCCTCTAAGCTGAGTTAGAGTGACCTAGCTCACAGTTTTTTAGCCTCTGGCTCACACGTTTTTGTCTTCGCTCAGGAAGGAGGGCTCCAGAGCAAACTAACTTATGCAGCAGCCAAATTGCTCGCTCACAACTTTAAGGCCAGTAGCTCACAAAGTAGAATTCTGTCCTGCACTAACTCCGGCCACTGTTCCCTCTAAGCTGAGTTCGTGTGAGCTAGCTCACCGTTTTTTAGCCTTCAAGCTCACAGATTTTTGTCCTAGCTCAGGAAGAATGGCTCCAGAGCAAACTGATTTATGCAGCAGCCAAATCACTCGCTCACAACTTTAATGCCGGGAGTTCACAAAGTACAACTTTTGCTCACAAGACACCACCGCTCAGAGGGAGGATTGGTCCAGATGGTGATGTAAACCCCTATTGCTGGCTACAGTGCTGTCTGCGCAGCAAGGCAGGGAAGGGGATGTGGTGGTCATGGAAGAAAATGAGAAGGTGCCAGTCTTAACCGTTGCTGCCGTCAACTAAAAGCCTGGTGGAACATCTGTGCCTTACGGACCCTGTGGAATTGCATCTGGTCCCGCAGGGCCCTGAGGTTATTCGGGAGAGATGCACATTGGAGCCAAAAATCCTAAATATAAATACACGTTGATGGGGTCTGAACTGGCAGAGACTGATCAAGAGAGAGATCTTGGAGTTGTAGTAGATAACTCACTGAAAATGTCAAGACAGTGTGTGACTGCAATAAAGAAGGCCAATGCTATGCTGGGGATTATTAGGAAGGGTATTGAAAACAGATCAGCCAATATAATAATGCCCCTATATAAATCAATGGTGAGACCTCATTTGGAATACTGTGTGCAGTTCTGGGCACCACACCTTAAAAAAGATATTATAGCTTTGGAAAAAGTGCAGAAAAGGGCAACTCAAATGATAAAAGGGTTGGAACACTTTCCCTATGAGGAAAGGTTAAAGCGCTTAGGGCTCTTTAGCTTGGAGAAAAGACGACTGAGGGGTGACATGATCGAGGTTTATAAGATTATGCATGGGAAAGAGCAGGTAGAGAAAGAGGTACTTTTCTCCCTTTCTCACAATACAAGAACCCGTGGGCACTCCATGAAATTGCTGAGCGGTCGGGTTAGAACGGATAAAAGGAAGTACTTCTTCACCCAAAGAGTGATTAACACATGGAATTCACTGCCACAGGAAGTGGTGGCGGCTACAAGCATGGACAGCTTCAAAAGGGAATTAGATAAGCATATGGAGCAGAGGTCCATCAGTGGCTATTAGCCACAAGGTATAGCTAGGGGCTCTGGGGCAAGTGATGCTCTGTCTTCTTGGTGCTTGGGGGGGGTCAACAGTGGGAGGGCTTCTAATGTCCTGGCCCCACTGCTGGACCTCCTGATGGCACTGGTATTTCTGGCCACTGTGTTGGACTGGATGGGCCTTTGGCCTGATCCAACATTGGCATCTCTTATGTTCTTATGAGAGAGTTCCACCAGGTCGGGGCCAGGACCAAAAAGGCCCCGGCTCTTGTCGTGGACAGTCGGGACCTCCCTAGGGCCGGGGATCCACCAGCAAGTTGTTATCAGCTGATCTCAGCATTCTTGTGGGGACAGATTGGAGAAAGGTCTGGAGACCAGGTTCTATAAGGAAAGGTTGAAGGAGCTGGGTATGCTTAGGCTGGAGAGGAAACGACTGAGAAGTGATAGGATCACCATCTTCAAGTCCTTGAAGGGCTGTCACACAGAGGGTGGGGTGGAGTTTTTTTTTCCTGTTGCCCCAGAAGGTCGGACCAGAACCAAGGGGTTGAAATAAAATCAGAAGCGTTTTTGGCTAAACATTAGGAAGAACTTCCTGACAATTAGAGCGGGAGGCGAAGGGCTTTCCTTCTT